ACAGTATAAATGTGTGACTCTGCAGATGTTCAGGGTCGGTCCACCTTCACAGACTCATGCTCTGTGTTGGTGAGCCCACCGTATACCGGAATACTAATAAACACCCACTACAGCAAACTTCACATGAGGATTATGAGTAAAATTTCTTCAACAGCTCCAAATTAGGTCATGTGACCTGCTGCCAGCGATGTCACGTTTGTTTCTGCTATTAACCAAAAAACTGATCAGATCAAAGTCAGACAGCCTCACATGAAGACACACGACGACGAATCAGAAACCAACAACTTTAATAAAATACTGAACTCTGTGTGTGTGTGTGTGTGTGGTGTGTGTGTGGTGTGTGTCACAGCACTGCGCTCCTCATGTATGACAGCAGACACAGTGATTGGTCGAATGATGCTCGTAGCTCCGCCCATCCTGCCTCCAGCCGGTCTGAGAGGCGGAGCAGCGCTGCCATGGCGATGGCGTCCTGCGACAGCGAGCGCAGGTGAAGCTGAAAAACAAACACTGATGTAAACAAACAGGAGACATTTTTGTACAATAAACACAACACGCTGCTCTCTGGTTGGCTGACCTTCAGGAAAAGCGCCAGGTAAGCGTGAGCCAGGTCAAAGTCCCGCCCACTGGCCAACATGCTGTCAATCATGTGAATGAAGGCAAGAAGGAGGCTGCTGGCCCCGCCCCCCTCTGATGTCAGACAGGTGAGCTCCACTGAGAGTGCCGCTGGCCCACAATCCTTCAGGAGACGCAGCGGACGGTCGACTGCAGAGACGATCGATTCCAGATCAGAACTCATCAATGACCGTGATCAGATCACAGATCTATAGAACTGGTATGAAGGTACTTCACATTGTTTCATAGGAAACATTCTACAGCGATCAGAACCACTGTTTGGACTCACAGGATCCCGACTGCTGAGCCGCCTCCAGAGCCAAACCCAGCGCCGACGTCTGCAGCAGCGACCCGATCGGCAGCAGCTTGGACTGAAACACAGCGGCGTTAGACACTGAGCCCACCACAGCAAAGCAAAGCCCACATCGTCAGGGATCTACCTGTGCTTCGGTCGCCGCGGGCAACGAGAATCGAGGCGTGAGACCAGGAAGCGTTGGCAGGAAGAAGGGCGCGGTGGGCGGAGCAGCAGGGGGCGCTGCAGGTTTGTTCCTCCTCTGAAACAGCAGAACGTTAGCAGCAGCTCTCACCTGTCTGACACACAAACAGCAATGCTGCTCACCTTGATGGCGTCCAGGTGCAGCAGACTCGTCCACCGAGACTCCGGCAGCAGAGACAGAGTCACAAGCTCCGCCCCCAGCTGCTCAGCTGACTGATACACATCATCAGCCTCCTCTGATGTCACTTCCTGCTCCGGCTCGACCGGCATGACGCCCGGCAGCGTCTCCACAGCCGGTTGGTAGTCAGCTGGGAGGGGGCGGAGCCCCACAGGCCCACACAGACTCTTATTGGTCCTGAGGAGGAGAGCTGCGCTGTGATTGGCTGATACAGGCCTTAGATCAGTGACATCATCTACACGGGACACTAGCCGTGTCTCAATGTGCGTTCTTGTCCGTACTTGCGTTCTTGCGGACTTGTGAAACGTCATCAGTCTGAGACCAAGTGCGGTCCCAATTCTAAGTACGCATCTGACCAATGAAATGCCAGGATGTGTTCTGGCTCCGCCCACATTATGGAGTCTGCATCAGACCGGACTGTGTGGACTTCAGACAGCCAAGTATCCCAGAATGCATTTCGCGCCACCCAGCAGCAAAAGCCGAGGAGAAAACTTTCAACAGTAACACAGGCTTTCTGTAAATACTGTTGTTA